GAATTGTTTGCTTTGAATAAGCAGAACTTTACAGTATCGTTTTCTTTTTCTTTTTGAATTTCATTATGCAAATTCAATAAATAAAATTTTATATATTAAACAATTAATACTGAATATGCAATTGCAATGATATTAATAAGCAGAAGATATTTATTAAAAATTAAAGTGCAAAATTAATTTAAATGAAATTTCTAGACCTGAGATATAATTCAATAGAAATTTAGAATATAGTCTAAGTTAGAGCGTAAATAACAAAATAAGTTCGAATATAAATAAAAAAAAACAAATAATAAAGAAAAGAAAAAAAATGAGGAAAATTTTCAATTACAATCATCATTCTGCATCACTGAGATTAAGCAGAAGAATATTCTCAGAGGATAATATACAGAGATTCAAAACAATCAATAATTTAAAACTTAAAATATAATTTGAACCACTGAAAGCAATACTGGCATATATTTCAAATTATAATTGAATGAAATGAAAATATTATTTCTGAGCATACGAAGAAAATTTGTGAAAAAGTTTCAACTACTAAAAAAAAAAAAAACGAAACAATAATGAACGATTATCGAAAGTATGTGGAAGAAGCGTTTTTTGCCATCTTCAAAACCTCTTTAAAAAAAGAAAAAAAAAGAAATCACTGAATTTCTTTCTAAAAAACGAGCAATTGGACTGCAAACTGCAAAAAAAAATAAATAAGCAATCATTTAAAGTAAACTGCAATATATATATATTTAAAAAAAAATGACTGAAAGTTAAATAAATGGATGGAGAAAAATTGAAAAATGATTTTTCGACGCTCATTTAGAAATTGTTTAACAATGGCAGAAAGCGCTTCGTTCCACTTTTTTTTGAGACATAGCAACTTAAGCGATTTCATTTCCACTTCCTTTCTATTTCTCATAAAAACCAAACAAAACAAAAAAGGACGAAAAAGAAAAAAGAAAAAATAAACAACAAAGCAAAGTATTAAAAGAGTAAATTATTCATCGTTACTTTCTTCTTTTTCTTTACGACAAGAGAATTAACTATTTTCTTCTTTAAAACAAAAAAATTAATCTCTCACCATTGTTTTTATCTTTTCCTCTACAACGAAATAATAATCTCTTACCATTACTTTTGTCTTTTCCTCTACGACAAGAAAGTAATCTCCCACTGTTGCTTTCATTTTATCATGAAGGCAAAGTAATAGTTACTATTATTATTTATTGTTTTTTAGTATTGTCTTTGTTTATTATTATTATTAACTATTATAATTGGCCATATTAATAATATTATTATCATTATTATGATTTTTTGTTTGTGATAACGTCATTTTAGCATATATATGATGCTGATGAAATAAATCCCAGTTTATTAAATATTAAATTTTTTAGATTTTGTCTATTTATAAATTACTAAAGAATTTTAGCTGTTTGGTTTGAAGTAAATTATTAAATGAAAGTAATTAAACTATGTCTTTATAACCAATGCTGAAGTATGATTTCATTACTGAAAATAATTATGTCCATCATTTTAACATAAGATGAAGAAATAAAATAGATATTTTCGAATTTATCAAAAATAAACAACAATCGTATGGGATTATTTTATTAATAAAAAGAAAATTTCCTTATTTTTATTTTCTAATTACGAATAAACTAGTAAACACTGCGCTAATTAATTGTTAGACACTACGAACACGTGAAATTTTGGCATAAAAAAGGATTTTACGTCTTCGTTGCTTGTTGTAATTAGTTAATATCATGGAAAGAAACATTTTCATTTGTTTCTAATTTAATTTATTTAACTTTTTTTTTTTTATAATTTTAAACTTTCAACAGTGTACGATGTAAATGATAAAAGTATTATATATAATCAATAATTAACTTTATGAAATAGTGAGCTATAAAACTTTTTATTTTACTTTTTCTTTAATTTATAATCTTAAAAATATGTAAATAATTCATCGCAATTATAATTATTACAAGTAACAAATATATTGTAAGAAAAATTTCTTCAGAGAAAAGAAAACAAAGTAAGTAATTGTATATTATACAATGAATGAGTAAAAATTTCTAAATATTTAATCAATAAATTTTAACTTGGACTTGAAACATGGCTCTTTAACTAAGAAATTGAAAAATTAATTAAAGCATTAAAAAAAATTTTTAATGCTTTAATTAAATCTATGTGATATGTTCCAAATATTACTTATTAACTTTTTATTGGTCAATCTGATATGAAAAATTTAAGCCAATGTATTTGTTAATGATTCCAAACCAATAATGCTAGTATCATTTTAGATGCTTCATATATATATATATATATATATATATTTATTTCATATTATTGTAAAAATTCTCAAAGGATGATATTATCTTTTTAAACACTACTTTTTTTTCTTCTCTTTGATGTGTATTTAGTCTAAACAGTCCAATTTCTATGCTTATTTAACCTAAAATTATTGTTCTTTAATTTAAATCCTTTTTTGAATAAAGTCTAAAACATTTGAAGTGGAATTATCTAGCGATAATTGCCTTTCCAACAATCATTTTAATTTGAAATATCAGAAATTAGGCGATACAAAAAGAAGGAAATTTGCACTCAAAAAATCAAAGTCAAATTCTGTATTCAAAATCAGGAATTTTTACTCAAATAGAGCACAAAAGAACCTCATCCTACTAATAAAACATCTTAGATCTTTTCATTTAGATCAATCTAGGAAATATCTATCTCTACAGGAGCAAATATAGAATGGAATATCTAATTATTATCTTGAATCTATTTATTCATTTGAAAAGAACAATTAATAGTTTGGCAATAATCTATTTTATATATTAAATTAGAAGTGATAAATTGATTATACTTTTGTCATTTTACCAATAGAAATCAGAAATCATTTGTAAGAATTAGGCACTAAATCTTTTTTTTAATTAAAGATATATATAACTTTTTTCCATTTAATATTTATCATTTTTTTCTGATACGGTATTGCCGTTTCTAATTCTGATATGCTATCCTATTTCACAAAGCTATTCAAGATTAGCAACAAAATGCTGATGCGTCATATGCTTTGTTAATTTAAAGTTTTTGCATCAAAAATATGTTTATCATCTTGCTACCGTAGTACCGTAGTACCTCCACCTAAAATGCCAAACGTCCTCAAATTTTTTACCGTCAATTACTTACAACTATTTCGTACCTAAAAGTTCATTTTCAGTCTTGTATACTAAAGATATATATATATATATATATATAAATTATATAATTGCCCTCCATTCTAAAAATCATAATTAATTCTAGTGAATATTACATAAATATCATAGCCGGGTAATTAGCATAAATAAATTTTAGACTAAATTTTGGATTAAAATGTAAGTTCTATCAATTCTTTAATGAGATTTAAGTACGAAAGAAAAGACATTTTTATTTTTTTTTTTTTAAAAAAAACATCTTTTTTGTTCCTTCTTAAAAATGAAATAAATAAATGCCTGAGAAAACAATTAAATTTTTGACTTATATGCAAAAAAAATGAAATGACAAATTAGTAATTTTCATAATAATTATAATATTGCTACCACTAATAGTATTAATACTACTATCACTACTATTACAACTACCCTACTATTACCACCGATTAAGGATTGATGTTTAATAATTAAATTCTCAAATTTCATAATTTATTCATACTTCATTTTCAAGAAATCAATTACTAAACAAATTCATTTCACATATGTCATATCATATCATACATAATCACTGAAGGTTAATAAATATATCAGAATACAATAATTGAATGTCAAGTAATACAGTACTATATATGTGATTAGTAGTAGATAGTATTACGATAAAGAAGAAAGGGAAAATTTTGTCCCGAAAATTATATTGTCTATAAATTGAGCAAATACAAATATACATCAGATAATATTGAGAAGAATGGGAGTTGTAGGAGTGAACATAAACCAATTTTTTGCAAAAAAATTTTTGAACTTAAATTTTCTTGTTTAAATTTTTTTTTTAAAAAGAAAAAATCATGCACATTCATATTACATATATTAGTCATATTGTGATTATAATTAATAAGTTCAAAATTCTTCCTCTCAAAATTATTGAATTAGTAAAAATGAAATTTCGATATTTGAAAAAAATATATAAAGATGAGAAATTTTGAAATTTTGAATAAAATTATTCAAACTAATTTAATGTAACAAATTGGTCGGTAAAACGAAAAATAAAAAAGATTATCTTTCTGTTCCATTTCTTCATCCGCTAACGTATCAGAATTACAAATTAATATTGTACCTCCAATATTCCTTTTTTTTTCCCTTTTTTTTTGAGTTTTATTTAGATATTCTTTTTCAAAACAACAAAATTATGAAAGAATTAATAAAAATCCATGAATGCAAAATATGATAATAAGTCAATTATTTCAGGTTTTTTTTGATCATATTACTAGTTATGAAACCTTTCAAACGTAAATACGTCATTTAATCTCTATCATGAAATGTTGCAGTACGTAAAAAGAAAATGACCAGCTTAAAAGAAGGAATTAGCAAAATGAAAGAATTAGACTGTCATTTTTTTTAAATAAAATTTCCTAGTAATACTTCAAAATCATTAGCAATATTTTCATAAATATATTCTTAAAAGAAAAAAAATTGGAGCAAACATCAAGTGATAACAACATCAAAAAACAAAAAAAAATTGTGATAAAATTGGTATTTTATCGGAAACAAAAAAAAAACAGTGAAGAACAATTTTATGCAAAAAAGAATTAAAATGACTGAAAAAAATGAGAGAAAGATAAAAAAAGAAAAATGAATCGAAAAGATTTAGCTACTTCTCATTATAGCTTATAAAATTTTCTTTTTTTTCATTTTAAATTTTCATCTTATCTCTATTTGTAATCTTTGGAAAGAAATTGCATTTTTTACTCATATCTGACCTAATTTGCAAAAAATCGAATGATTTAAAATTAATACTAATTAATGTTTTGAATAGATTGAAGAGATAATTTATAAATTCATTGATGAAGCTATAAAATAATCGTCATTTTCAAGATATGTCGTACAATGTGATGATTGTGTCGTCCAAGTTGATAAATATGCTGCAGAATTGATATCGGGAACATTTGTTGATTGATGTTGTATTGGTGATGATGGATTACTAAAATATTTTTTATTTAAATTAATTAAATTATATTTAAAATATGTTGTTCAGATGAGTAAAGTTTCAAATTTTGATGACAAAATGATAATGAATTAGAGCTTTTTTTTCTTTCTTTAGGACAGAGATTTTTTATAAAAAATAGAAAAATATGAAAAAAAATTTTAGCATTGATAAATTCTATTATAACTAACATTTAATTTTTGGATAATTAATTCAAAATTATTGAAACTTAAGTTTCTAAACTAAGATTTCTCATTCTTTCTCATAAGACATTATAAAATAATGTAAGCTAAGCTATTATCGAAAGCAAAATATATTTCATAGGTAATTATTACCTTTTAAATGGATCTATAATAAAAGAGGATATATTAATTGTTGGTGAATAGCGACGATATGATGATTCATCGAAATCATTAATCATGCCATCAGCAGGTGATGATGTGGTCGAAGTATTATTTAATTGATTTGGGAGAGGACTACAATAAAATTTACATTTTCATAATTTGGACTTTTTTTTAGAAATGATATTACAAATAATAATTGAAATTCTTTTGTTCTTTTTTTTTTTTTTTTGAATTGTAGCTATAAAAAATCAACAAAAATGAAGTATTTCCAAATTAATTCGACAAGCACTTGAAATTATCATTTGCTATAAGTTGAATTATTTCGTCCCACCGTAATTTAACATGTAAATGTATTTGAATTATCAAAGACAATCAGTAATAGAAACCGGAAAATAGAAATGATGAGTCAATGTTAGCATTCATTTAAACTTAAAAGAAGAAAAGAAACCTTTCTGCATCATCACATGAAGTTGAATTACTTGAATTAGATGCTTTTAATCTTTCCGAATATAAATTTTTCATTGATAAATATTCTGGAAATAAATAAGAAAAAAAGGATGAAACAATCTTTTCAGAACATTTTTCTTTTTTTTTTGAAAAAAAAAATAGTACTTTGGACAACAAAATGATGATGAAATATTAATTAGAAAAAATATTGGGCAAATATAAAATGTAATATCGATTTTTTTTTCACTATTTTTTCTAACAATACTACTTAACTAAGTCATTGAACCATTTTAATTATTTATCTAACTACTTAAATTCTTATTTAAGCCGATTAGTTTGATTTATCTGCTGACTAAAGGCAAGGGGAAAAAATATAAAAAATGCAAAATAGGTTTTCATATAAAAAGTATAAAATATATTTCAAAAAACAAAAAACAAATTTGGATAAAAATTTATGAAATATTTTATATTTAATTTTTAAAAATGGATTGTGAAAAGTTACCAGAATTTAAACGACCAGAAATTTTTCGTTCTTTTGTTTCAGTTAAAATTAATTCCTCCATTAATTGATCAATATTTGCGACACCTGATAATTTGAATACAAGGACATCCTCACAGACAGCATTCGCTAATGCCTGAAAGTGGTAGAAATCACATAGCTTATGAGAAATAATTTTAAAAAAAAAAGGTGAAACTCTGAGATTTGGAATTTTTAAATTTTCAGTAATGCAGATAATATGGGAAAAGAATTAATAAGAAATATTAGAAAACATTTCAAGAAACAACAAAAAAAAAGAACTGTTAAATTGAAACGGTTTTTCGTAATATTTGAGCTTATTATACTTTTCCAGAGAATTTGTGATAATTTGATTACTTTTGAATGATTGAGTGATTTTTTTGTTAATTTAATCATATTTAAAATCTATCACAATTATTCGCTTAATTACCGGAATAATTAAAATGGAAATATATTTTATTAGCAATTATCTCAACTGCATATGCTAGATAATATATGAAGTTCCTAAACTTATACTTCATCTTTGAACTAATTAATTGTTCTAAAAAAATTAATAAAATTTGAAGAATAAATCTTATTAGTAGAATGGAATTTTTAGAATATCAGATAGTATTTCATTAACAAATATAATAAACTAATTAATTCATTAGTAAAGATGTGACGAATTAATTCATAACCTGTAAAGGTGATAATATGAAGAATGTAAGATCACCAATTCTGTTTACATCAGTTGGAATCTTCGTGCTAACATAATGTTCCAATGCGCCAAATATACGTCGACGTGTTGCTAAAACATCCATAACGCTTCCACTTGATAAACCTTTTGCTACTGTAAATGCATAAATTTAAATTTTAGCTAAATATTTCATTTAAAACTTATTCACCTGTCTAATTCTAATTTCAAGTTTAGCTATAACTTAAGTACTTCTAGGAATTTTATTTTTAACGAAAAATTCTTACAATATCTCTTATAACATTATCAAATATTGGTGATAATAAATAAGAATGATAAAATTTCCAAAAACAAAAAGTAGTATAATAGTATTTAAGATTATTACGATAATTAAAAAAAATTTTTTTTTCCTTTAATTGTAAAATTCAGGGAAAAAAGAAATTTAAATTATTACAACTAACCAGGATTAAACAGGACGCAAGCTTTTAAAGCAACAAATTCAACATCATCAATTTTAAGAAATTTCATTGGTGCAACAAGTTGATCCATAATACGTTCACAATCTCGAAAATAAATATTTCTAAAAATTATTATTATTACAAATATTATTAAAAATTTTTAACAGTATCACAATTTAATTGCAAATTTATTTATAAATATTTAATTATTTTGTTAATATTAATCACTTTTCCTTTTCCCCTTCTATTTCCATTCTTAACTGTTTTTCTAACATTTTCTCGCATTATTCATTCAAATGGTAATTGAATTTCTTATCATTTGATATGGACAGGTAATGAGTAATGGTAATCAAATTGAAATGAATGTCGTCAATTCCTTCAAATCTCATATTAAAATAATTTGATAAAGTTAACTGTTATTCTTTTTTGCCATCTGACACCAATTAAAACATGCATGAACACTATCCAATTAAGTTGCTAATCAATCTAATAACTAATTAAATTATCACTTCACTGAAGTATCTCCCAGCTAATGTCGCTTATAATGATGACAAAGAAAAAGAAAAAAAAGTGGAAGAGAAAATTCGTACTCGAGATATTCAGTACTATCATGATTACCACAACGTGGTATACAGGAATCATTTAGTAACTTCAGGAAATCGGAATTATCTTTGGATCGATATGAAACACCGAGAATAATATGCTGTGAAGCATAATTTTTTAGTAATGCTGTCTAAAAATTCGGATAATTAGAAACTTAACAAAATTTAAATGAAATAATATATATTTAATTATAAAAATTAATATTGTATATTTCTTTTCATTGATTAAAAATTATTGAAAGGTAATAGTTATCACAAATGTCTTACAAATAATTGCAATAATTATTAGATGCTGATATAATCATTATCATTATTATTCTTTTTTTTTCCTATTCTTACAACTTTATTACATTTTCCAACAGCATTTGGATAGAAAATAAGGTATTGATTGAAGATAAATTATTTTACTTATTTTAATTGAATTCTTTTTAGAATTTTCATCAAATTCATTTTAACATAAATTATTTCTCATAAGATGCTTATCACATTATGATTAATATTTATAATATAAATTATTGATTTTTCTCAGATTTATTTAATTGATAATCATCAAAAAGCTCTGAATTATGTTATTTTTTCAAATTAATACTACTTACTATTATCCCATTATTCACAGATAATACAACATATCATTCCGTTGTCGTACAAAAAAGAAATGAAAACCGGAAAAAAGAAAAGGAAGCAATACCTGATCATCGGTTGAAAGTGCTGCAAATGGCGATAATGTTTTGGCCCATTCAATTACAAGTAATAATTGACTATGAATACTCGTATAAATATCCCTAATAGTTGCTGTACGGCCAGCATCATTCTTTCCATACTGTAAATTTGCATATAAATTATCGAAAATGAAAAATACCTCTGAAAATATTTTAGTTAAAAAAATAATAGTGCTAATCATCTCAAAAATTATATTAATCAAAAAAAAAAAATCATGATCGTTATAAAGTTAATGCAAAATACTAAAGTGATTAAAAATATATTGTATATTATAATTAACAATTTTTTATTAAAATTTTTGAAAATATTTTTGATCGGTCAAAAAATTCTTATAATTAGATATTTAAAAATAATTTTAAATAATTTAAAAAAAAACAATTTTAAGAACTCTTTATTTTTGAACTTTTGTTCGTTTTTTCTTTGCTTACCAACTGATTTTTTGTCCATAATGGAACATCGGTTTGTTTCATAATCGTTTCTCTCAAACTTTGCATTTTTTTCTCAGATAGAAGAAGACTTTCCAGCAATGATCGTGGTGTATCCCATGACGATAACGTTGAAGCCGATGATGAAGATGAAGACGAAGTTGTTGAAGAAACCATAAAATGTCTAAATATTATGCTAATTTATGATAATTAATTATTTATCAAGTAATTACTCGATAAATGATAAGTTGAAATTAATGGTAACTTATGATGAATAATCATTTATCAAGTAATCATTCGACAAGTGATAAGTTGAAACTAATTATTAATGTCGTAAAAATGCTGAAATATAATTTTTAAATTGCTCACTTATGCTAACTTATGATGATTAATCATTTATCAAATAATTGCTTAAATATGATGCTAAAGTTATTCATTTAGCAAAGTTGAAATTATTATTTAAATTTTATTGAAAGTAGAACAAGAATTTTCATACCCACTGGGAGAAGAATGTTTACGATTGGTTGTTTTGGCTTGTTCTAACTTTATATTTGATAATCCATTGCTGGTAGTACTTTGCGCTGCAGCAGCGGTAACACTTGTCGTAGGTGATGAAGTTGATGGAGTACGATTGCGCCTACCGATCACATCACGCTCATTTTGTACTGCTGAAAAAAAAGTGATGCAATTAATTTAAAAGATTTAATACAGCATAATTTTAATTAATAGATTTTATAAAGTTTGAAGCCTGAAGTCTAAGTTTATTGAGTGATTTAATATCAAAAATAGACACAGGAAAGTACTAATAAAGATTTAATACAGCATAATTTTAAAGTGCTAATTTCACATGAATCAAATTTAAAATCATTCATATGATTAAATTTAGAAATATTTATCAAATAATTTGATTATTTCTAATTTCCTTAATTAATTTCGATTCAGATATCATTCTAATTAAATTAGTAAGTGTTATTTCAACAACTAATAGTTAACAACTGATGGGCTTTTTGAATATAAATAGTTCCTGGTTAGGAGGTTATTTGGATTATCAATTAGAATGGGTAAATAATAGTAATAGTGCCTGAAATTACTAATGATAAATATTAATATTTATTTATTGAAACAATATTTATCAACGAATGAATTGAAAATATTAAATAATCGCACTGAAACAACACTGAGATACTTAAATGATACTTATTTATATTGAAATACTCACTAGAATTATATAACCATTATTAAATATTATAAATATTAGAATAATAGACAAGATTTATATTGAAATACTCACTGGAATTACAAAAAATTTTATGACTTTTTCTTAATTATAAAAGAAAAAATTTGCGCTAATTAAAAAGTACTTGACATACATATTTTTCTCTTTTTTCATGTCTATAATTTTAGTTTGCCTCTTTAATTAAAAATTAAATATTTCTTTTATTTTTTATCACCATTCGTTTTTCTTTTTTTAATTCTCAACTAGTATAATCTTCATAATTAATCACAAATAATTAAATATCAAAAAAGTATAATTAGTTCACCTATTGCTTTTTTTTCACTAAGAATAATTCATTTACTATCAATATCAAACTATTAAATAATTCTTACTTATTAATCTAAATTAGAATAACTAAACATCAAAGTTAAAAAAATTAGCAACCTTCGAGTTATAATTTATGCTCACAACATCATTCAGTTTATTATCAATGATAAGTGATAATTAAGAACCTACTTGCATAATTTATGAAATTACTTTGATTAGCTTACCATCTATTTTCATTCCAGCATTTATGCAACGCATATAACGACATGAACGACAAACTGCTCGATTATCTAGAAAATTGATCTTTCTTCCAAAAAAAATAATTCAGTCAATCTTTTTTAAATTAACAGAATAATTTTTTAATTTTTACACTCTTAAAATAGAAAGAGAAAGTAACTTCAAAAATGCAGAAGAAAAATTTAATTTCGAAATAATTATGAAGAAAGTGTATTTCGAAAAGGTAAAACTCTGTTTTTTTGGGTAATTTCACAAATCACGTTTAATGAAATGACTCCATAAATAAAATTAATGGAAAAGAAAAAAAAACATATGCGACACAGTTGTGATGCGCAACTGTTCTCGAAAAAAATGATAAATTTGAAAAATAAAAAAAACAGAAGAAAAAAGAAACCACATATTTAACCATATGCATTACAATTTTTGTAATTCTTTCTTCTTTCCTTTTTAAATGTGTTAATAAACTCATCGTTTTTCCTCTGGTTAATTTTTTTTTTATCTTAAAATTTCGTTGTTTTTTTTTTTTTTTTTTAGATAAACAAATTAAAGAAGTATTGGTTTACAATAGCTGATTATAGGTATATGTTTATCAATACTTTTTTCAAATTTATTATTTACCAGTAAATATACCTCTTATAACATGCAAAAAAACAAAAAATTATTGTAATTTTTTTCTGAAAATTTAATTTAGTGAAGTTAACAATGAAAACAATAATACAACATATTGTTCAAAAGGAAAAAAAAAATAATTAATTTAATTTCCTTGTATATGTAAGCTGATGAATGAGTAAATAAAGAAATGAAAAGAGCATTTCATATTATATAGAAATATTTAAAAAAATATTTTATATCAAATTTTTAAAAGGAAATAAAATTATGCACGAAAAAGTTCCTTACGTAAATGGAAACTTACGTTTATCAATATTGCAATTACTACTGAAACGACACGTATATCTATAACCACGTCGAATAGTGCGCCTGAAGAAACCTGCAATAACAACAAAAATGCTTTCAAAAAAAAGTTGTTTAATTGAGCTAAATTACAAGTTTTACGTTTCACTTAATTAATATGAATATTATTTCTATTCCTATCAATTAATTTTTATTATTATTATGAAATTAGAATTAAAAAGCAAATAATATTTGCAAATATTTGGAAATATTTGCAAAATAGATCATTTTGAAAACTAAGTAGTTCAAACTAGTGAATGCTCAAATTTGCTATTCTCAAAAATTGATGGAGATGGATAATTTTTACTGAGTTTAACGATGAAGTTTTGTACACGAAAAGGTCACAATTTTATTTTTGTTAGTAGAAAAAAAGAAAATGAAAAAAAAGATGGAACATGTTCTTTCTGTCAATACATTATTAAATGTTCAATTAATGATAAGTGGTAGTAAAAAAATACAAAATGTTAGAGAATAAAAAATACAGAAGTAGCTTTCCTTCCTAAAATTCAAATTGATTAAATTTTTTAATTAATAATATAATATACCTTTACAACCATTACATGCAATCGTTCCATAATGTCGACCTGTTGCTTGATCACCACACACTGTACATAATAAATCATTATTGCTATCTAGAAATAATGATTAATAATCATCATTTATTTCTTTTAACTTATTTGCTGTTATCATTATTCTTATGATTATTGTTATTGTTGATGACATTGATAACAGCCATTATTATTATTATGGTTAATAATAGTTACCATTTGTTTCATCTTTTTTTTTCATCACTTATTTTCATAATTCTTAATTATACCTCAATAATAACTCGCAATTTCGTTTTCTTTCAACTAAATTATATATATGATCAATTATCATTATCATTTATTAATATTACTTTCATTTATTCTTCTACCAGTACTATTTTCGATATCATTAGTTAATTGCTAATTTACTATTTTATAAACTTAATTTTTATAATCATAAATTATTCCGTAATATTTTCCTTCCTGTCTTCGTCATTCATTTATTAATTATTATTAATACATGATTTTACAACTGTTATTGTTATTGTACTAAAATAAAGAGAAAGTATTTGGACAGAGTTCAATCAATTCATTTCTAATTATCGGTGGAAAAGATTCAAACTTTAAATAATTCTATCAATAGTTTTAGTAATAAGACGAATATTTATTAAAAAAGAATTGTTGAAATGTTTGATAGTTTTTCTTTTTCAACTTATAATATTCTGATGTTATTTTTTCACAGATGTTTATCGATAATTTGAAATAATTTCATCAATAATTATAATTTCGTATAATTTCGTTACAACAGTTTTAATTTTTCCTTGCTTTCTTAAAACCAAATTATAAAACTGATTAAGTGATCAAATTTATCCATGGTTATATTTATGTTTTTTTAAAAGATAAAATATATTTAATAATTAACGAATTATGCTATCTACATATTAATTAAATGAATGAAATAATTATGCGACAGTTACGCTTTGTAATCAAACTTTGCAAATTAAATTATTCAATTCAACCTTGGCCTTTCATTGTGAAGGCAGAAAAAACATGAAAGGCACCCAGTACTTGCTAATTTATCAATCGGCATAACTACAGTAGTAATTTCAATAGATAAAATAATTTTTTGAACTAAAAGTTAGAGGTAAACAATCACGAAAAATAAAGTGATAAAACTAACAATACATTCAATCAGTTTAGCATAATAATTTACCATCTATTATCAAGTGTAATGATAAGATTAATAATATTGTGTATGATAATATAACTGCCGAATCAGCATAATTTATCATTTTTCATTCAGTATCATGGTGATAAGACTAATATTGAACTATGCAAAATTAGTTATGCAGTTAATAGATTCAGCATAATTAGCCACTGATCACTACTTATTATGATAAGGACTATTTAACCGAGCTATTGGAAAGATTTCTGCGAAAAAGTTAAATTATCAATTAGAAAGATAAAAATGAACTTTTTTCAATGTCATCAATATCCTTCACGGTACTTTCAGCTTTCAACATTTGATGCATCCGGGATATCGCGAATTTTCTTCCAGTCTTTCCCTTACCTTTTTTTTTTGTCTTTTTTTAAAGAAATCAAAAGTTGTAGCTGCTATAATTTCACACGAATATGGTCCTAAAAATTGCAGATAAAAAGGAAAAAATAATTCAAATTTCTTTACAATAATTAATAATAACATTAAAATCATAAATTTCACAAAATTAAAATAGCTTCCATTAATTATTATTTCTGATAATTTCACCGTTTTAAAAAAAAAAATTCTATACCATATCAATACCATATGAAATTACAGATGTTTTCGTACTTTATAATTTTTCAAAAAATTTTATTGCAAATTACTACCTAAAATTTATTTCGTTTTTTTTTTTCGCAATTTTATTTATTTAACATACTGCAAACAATCATTCATTTTTTATTCCCATTATCATAATTATTCCACACTTTTCATTATTTATTCTATCAAATATATATGTATATATATATATATATATATATCGATATAACTATCACCAATATTGCATCAATGTTAATTATAATGAATACCGCGTAAACCATTTGTCGTATTAAATGATTATTTAACTGTTGTGAAATAAACTTTTGATAATAATTACAACCATTGGTTCAATAATATTTTTTTAATTGAAATAAAACAATTGTAAATTTTCTTTTTATTAAAGAAGAAAAAAGATTCCCCAATGCTATTGATGTTGTACACAAGAATTTTAATATTCACTTCGCAAAAATTTAATATTCAGCTTGCAAAAACAATTTATTAATGCTGAAAAAAATTTGGCATCATTTTGAAATGAAATTTAACAAAAAAAATTAATAGAATTAACTAAAATGAAAAAAGGTATTGAAAATAGGTGCTAAAAGATACTAACAATAAAAAATAATAAAAATGGTTCAATAATGCACATCAGTTCATAATTAAATTAATGTTAACTAATTTTTCGTTTTCATTAAGTAATTGTACTTGCTTTTTTTCATAATTTTATTTTATTAAGCATAAAATGGATGAATTATCAACATACGGTAGACATACTGTAAAAGTCACACATAACAATTAAGCAAATTGCTTCGAAAATGAAAAAAAGCGAAGACAAAATTAGTACCGAATATTGATTTCAGGAATGAAACATTCCTTTATTTCAAATTTATTTCATTTTTTTACTCAAATTTCTAATACTATAATTAATTTCTGCTTATTATTAAATTACTTGTTCTAATATTGCATTGTACTGCTTTATGATTATTTCTTTCCAATTTCCCTTAAAGAAAAATAAAAAACAACGAGAAATTTTATAAAAAAGTTTAATTTAAATTGAGCAAATCACCAAATGAAATCAAATTCTAAATCAATAAATTCTGAAACATAAGTGACTTTTTTTCCTTTTAAGACTTTTAAATACAGCAAAACTAATTTATGTTATTTCAAAAAAAAAAAAAGACGAAAAAGTTAATTTCAGTTTTTCTTTCATTCTGTTCAATTTCATTCAATTCAATCATTTATATTATCAAATAATCATTTTTTGAGTATTTCAATGAAATACAAAATTTTCAATCTTTTTTCTAGCTTATTTTAGTTCTTTTTTGCCAAAAATAAAAAAAAATAATTAGTTTTTTAAATTAATCGATGCCTGAAGATCTAAATTTTATAAAAAAAAAAAAAAAAAAGAATTGAGAAATGAAAAAAGGAACAACGTAAAAACAAAATTAATGCGAAGTGATTGAAAATTGCACACAAACAACTGTTAACGAATTGAGAAAATTTTTGAATTATCGGAGAATGAAACGAAGCTGAGAAATGACTGATAATTATGGAACACATAAAATTCTCTATCTTTTCTCATTTTCTAAACTGAACATTTTTTTTTTAAAAAAGTTTTAACAAAAACAGATTAACTGTTTAACTAATTAAATAAATTATATATATAATTGTTAGAAATAATCAAAATCTCTTTATAATCCAATTAATTTTTCTACTGCAATAAAGTTAAAAAAAAGAAAAAGTAAAACATAAAAAAATTTTAGAAGAGAAGGAGGAAATCCATTTTTTCAAAATTAAAATTTTTAATTTTAAAAATATTTTACAATATCATTATAATATATTTTCTTAAGGATATAAAATTTGTAAATTAAGTGAAAAAAATAACAATAATGTTATGATGACTTAATAATGATCAAAGTTTAACTGCATTTTCTGTTTGTTATAGATAAAAAAAGATTGTTGAATAATTTTTCTTTACATTTGAAATTATCTTTATCAGTGTGTTAATTTTGATTATATTTAGATTTGAGCATTAATGTGATAATCATTTTTTAAATGATTAATGTGATAATCATCTTTTTTTCTTCTTAAATAAAAATGCAAAAATGTAGATAAAAACTATATGTTTTAGTGATAGCACAAAATTTGATTTTTTCATTAATTTGTAAGTTTTTTTATCTTATCATCGTCAAGATTTCATAACACTTTTTGATATTATTAAAAAATTATTATTAAAAATTTTTTGATATTTTGATATCTTTGATATTATTAAAAAATCATTGTAAATCATAGATTAATTTAATAATAATATTTAATAAACAATATTATTTAATAACAAAAATTCGTACGATGCATTTCAATTCAGTTAATAACAATTAAAATATTTTATGATCAATATACTCTGAAGACATGATAATGGTGCAGAAGTATATAATCTAATTAATTAAAGAGTAAAGCTCACTGAAAGTAGAAATAAAGAAAAAAACTAAAGGAATTACTAAATTAAATAAGAAATATATTACAAAAAATGAATTTCCAAATAAAGTTCTCTCTTTTCTAAATATTAAAAAAATTAATTGGATGTGTTGAAAATTAACTGTAATGATTACAAAATAAATTAAACGATAAGTAATTTTCTTTCGTTCGTCTTTTTTTTTTTCATCACAAAAAAAAAGAAAGAAAGAACCGGAAGATGACAAACTGATGAATACATTTTCGAAAAGAGAGAAGAAAAAAAAGGAAAAAGAATTAATTTGATAGAACAACTGAAATTTTAGGTATATATTTTGCGAGAAATCAATTTATAATTATTGCAAAGGAACTAAGAAAAAGAATGAAAGAAAGCGTAAGAGAAGAGAAAATGATGATTAGATTGGATATTTTTTGTTGATTAAATAAAAAACATTCCATCGTTGATTTTTTTCTTTTCTTTTCTTTCTCTCATTAATGGATTTACTGCTACTATTCATTCACTAAAATTATTTGTTCAATAAAGCAAGACAAAAAGAAAAAAAAAGGGTTGTTATCATTGTCATTATCAATCACACTAATCACTGTCCTTTAGCAAATTTCATAGATCGTCAAACTGATCATTATTAACATAACAATTTTAATATAACACTTATTTCAATGAATTTCATATCAATAACGGACAGTTATTGTTAATGATTAAAAAGAAAATATTACAAAAAGAAGAGTTTAATCTTAATGCCATTTGTGTATTGCAAATAAAATTATTGCAAAAATATTGGTCATGTAATCTATAATTAAAATATAATATAATTTCGATAAACTGTAATATGTTAGAAAAACAAAAACAAACAAAAAATCTAATTTGAAGTAAAATATCATAGATATATGCAAAATTCCATATGTTTTATAATATACTTAAAAAAAGATACCAGATGCCAAAATATAGCTTACATGAGGGAAATATTTCTCCCGGTGGAAATATATTTTTAAAAAAATAAGAAAAAAATATCGAATGAAAAAAGAGAAAAAGAAAACTGTTCAGCAAGGAATAGCAAACATCGCTCGTGAACATATATATACGTTGTTGATAACAAAATTAAATTCCACAGGTAACATTTGTTCACAAAATGTTGTTTAAAGAGTCAGCATTTAATATTTATCATGTTGATAATGGTAGGATGTACGCATGAATTGATATAGTATACAGCAATAATAATAACACAATAATTTGAAAAATAATATAATAATTAATAATAATAGTGATAATTAATAACAATAATAATAATAGCAATAATAAATAGTATTATTATTAATAAACAATAATAATAATAATAAATAGCATTATTACCAATAAATTAATTAGAGAAACAGAACAAAGAGGAGAATAGAGGGGGAAAGAGTAAATTCTATTTCTTTTTTTAAATCGATGACAACAAAATGAACTAATGTTTTCCGCCTTCAACCCCCCGCCCCGTTGCCCACTTTGCTTACCCGCTCTTCCGCTCTCTCAATCTCCCCATCCCTCCTCATAGATGGGAATAAAAATGAGCGCAACTATTATTTTTTCCACTCCCATCGTCAAAACTGCTTTACCAAGAAAGACCAGCGCGAGCGGAATCAAATTCTGCACCAATTTTGATTACACCGATAAGGGAATTCATTCCTTTTTTCATTTTTCCCCACCTCTTCCCTCCTGCCCCGTTTATTTCCAAAACGTATAAAATAATACACGTGAATCAGCAAATTATTTTCAATATGTATATAAATATACATTAAGGCTTTAATTGATTAATTTATGTTGATTTTTAACTTTTTTTTCCAATTAATGATGCAATTTTATTGTATTTTTTTGAGAAATTTCAAAAGTTTTTTTTCTGCTATCATTGAAATTTATTTGTCATCTTTTTTTTTAACTTTCATTTTCATATATTCTCAATCAAAATATGAATTATGATAATGCAAAATTTTAATGCGAAATCGGAATTGGATATTCTCTTTATTATTTATTCAATGTTATCACATCCATTCTCATATATTATCACTCTATTCATATTATATTCCTAAAAGGTTATTTTATCTTGCATTTTAATTTTGGAAAAAGAAAAAATTTTTGTTATTATGAACGGTAATAATTATTTTTGTGAACGGTAATAATTAAGTGATGAATAATGCTATCGAATTCTTCAAACTCATTAAGGAATTCACATTCGATGTTATGAACTAGTTCACTTAATAATTTCAATATTTGTGAAAAATAATGTTAAA